CTGCATTTATACCTAACAAGATGTCTTGGGGAGGGGACTCGAGTCTCAACACAGAACTCACTTCCACTTCAGATGGGCCCTACGTGTGGCCGAGGTCATGTCAGATACTGCTTTAAGCGATTCTGTGCCTGGAAAAGGTTGTGTGGTGTAGGATTTCCCATGGGGGGAGTCAGGGAGGGGCTCTCAGAGTTTCAGATTTAGGACACTTTGGGTTTGGTTTTCTGGATTGGGGATGATCCTCCTGTACTTCTGTATCCTGATGTCACCTGCCAACCTCACAAACAGACCTTGTGTATCTCCTGTACCCAAAATGCCACCCTAGTGGGAAGGTGGTAGAGAATAGGATGTGCCAACATCCCCTGGGGCCACCACACAGCTCTTGCTGCTCTCTGTGAGCTTTGTTGTTGCATTAATTCATTCAGTCCTGTGTCAGCCTTCTGTCACCATGACACATGCCTGGATGAGCAGCCGATGAAGAGAAAGGTCTACTTGGCTCACGGTTTTGGGGAGTTCAGTCCATGACTGATCAGCCCCGTTGCTTTGCTTCCCAGTTGCGGTGAAGCAGTGCCACCTGGCGGGTGTGGGAGGTGCAGAGCTGCCCACGTCTTGGCCAGTACTAGAGGGGGGAGGAGGAGCCGGGGTCTCACGATTTCCTTCAGTGACCCCAGTGACCAGCAGGCGTCCCCTAGGCCCCACCTCTCAAAGTTTCCACTGTGTCCCCATAGCACTGCACCGGAGTCTAAGTCTTTGGGGACAATGAAGATCCAACTTTTAGCCATCTTCAATGACAACTTCTTGGGGTGGGGATTATCAATTTCCCCATTTTCCAGATGAAAAAACAGAAACCAAGAGAAAGTGGCCCAAGATCACACTGCTGGAAAGGTGCGGAGCCAGGATTTGAGCCTGGTGGTTTTGATAATGAGTCTGTGTTCTAAGTCACAGTTCTTAGGGTCTCTGGCCACCTAGCAGGGGAAGAAGCATGGCTTCCCACAATGATTTGGGAGCAAACTTCTGTTTTTATCAAATCCATATGCAATAGCCCAGGTTCTCCCAAGCTTGGTGGCTACAACTGTGCTTTCACTCACTGATGGGCAGCTCAGGAGGACTTGCTCATACTGCCCCAGCCCATCCTTGGCCCCAGTGCCAGGCGTGTGGTGAATAACATAGCCGAACCAGTAAATGAGTTTCTTCCTGCTCCACTGGAGTTGAATACTCCTGTTTGATCAGGCTGGCCTTGAACTCACTAGGCTGCCACGCTGGCCTCAAACATGTGGTGATCCTCCTGCCTCAGCCTCCTGAGTGCTGGGATCATGGGTATGCGCCATCATGCCTGGTCTCACATGGTAGTTTTAGTCTTCCACTTTGCATTTTATGTATCAACACATGCTTGCGTAAATAGCATGTATTAGGGCAGCGCTAGCTGCATGAACCGTCTAGCTTCACGGACTTAACACAATAGTCTGTTTCTCTCTCATGAGCCAGTCTGATGTCCTCGTCAAAGAGTGGTGTCATTTCATCCGTGGCCTCACCATCCTGGGGCCTTGGAGTCCAATCTCCTATTTACTCTCTGAACTGTCCCCCTGCAAGCGACAAACCACACTGTGCTCTGGCCCACTATCCTATGGCCCACTCTGTCAAGGGAGGCCGGGATGTGTGCCCACTGGGGCTGCTGTCTGTCAGCCCCCTCTGCACGGAGGCACGTGGATTTCTGGGGACAGGCAGCCTCCTCCATATGGGCAGGAAGATGGTCGTTCAACACACATTTTTCACCAGGCAACTCGCTCACATTAGCACGGTCACAATCTCAGGTCACTTTCCAAACCTCACCTCACCAGGGCAAGGGACAGCAGCATCTAGCAAGGCGCAGGTGTGAATTAATTTGAGTGCCGGGGCCAAGCAGCGTGGGAGAGGTCAGAGCAGAGCCTTGAGCTCAGTCATGGGTTCAAATCCTGGCAAAGGCTGTTTCCTTTTGGACAGGCAATGTGACCTTTTTGAGACTCAGCGTTCTTACCAGTGAAATGAATTTTACGCTGATTAGAGGTGGTATGTATACATGTACCACCTCTTTAACTATATAAAGTGTGTATAAAGTATACACAATGGTACTTTGGTTGTCAAACTCAGTTCCTTCCAAATTCATGTTCAAACACCGACAAGTTCAAGAACCAGACATATTTTTCCCATAAGAAATAATGGAAAACCAAATAATTGGTTCTGAGGCCCAACAGTTACACTTATAAATTCATTTTTCCAGGACTTTAACAAGTTTCGCAGTGATTTCTTTCTTTAACTCTATCGTGGTTCCCACAGTTTTCCTCTTAGCTTTACCGCTGGTATCATAACTTTCCTTGGAGCCAGGGTTACGATATTCTACCCAAATAAAGCACACACACAAAAAAGCCGAGTGTGGAATGTCTTAACACCCCGACACAAGCCCTGTGTGCATCTGAGCGAGAGCGTCACTCGCACTGAGGCATCTCCCCTCTGTGGCGAGACGCAACCTGTGACTCACTCTCAGCCCCTGCAGGTTTTCTCAAGTCGGATTTTCGTTTCAACTACAGAGCAAAGTCCTGAACACCCAGCAGGCTTTTTTCGAACTTTGCTGTTCAAGTACCAGAAAAGTTCGAGCTGGGAGCCATTCAACAAGCAAGGTGTCACTTCGTATGATAAATATGAGATAAATGACAAGTGGTATTACAATGTTTTTCCGAACAAAGATTTCTCCAGAAATCAAACATCCCCTCTTTCCTGCTTGGAAAACAGCATGTACAGTAAAGGACATGTGATGAGCCTCACGTAAATACAAGGCACAGGGCAGTGTGGAGGTCAGGTTCCTAGACGCAGATGTTTTACCATCTGTATCCAGCACCAAACCAGGAATCCGAGCGCAGCCAAGCAGCCTGACGACTCGCTTGTGATTGCCCAGAATTCTAGTAGGGGCCATGGAGAAAGAAAATGGAGCGTGACGTTAATAACTCTGGCGATGGAGTGTGTGAGGCCCCCTTAGGCCTCACGTCAGCCCTCAGAACACACTTCCGGTGTCACGCGTGCTGTTACTGTGGCCACCGCACAGGGGTTACAGGTAAGTGGCCCCACCTGCGTTTTAGGAGGTGTGTCCTGAGATGACGCCGCACCTGAGTGTGGTCTGCCACAGCAGGCTGCAGAGGGGCTCCCGGCCTGGGAAGGACGACTTCCCAGGGAAGGTGAGGGAGCAGAGGCCTCGGAACCGCACAGGTGGAGTTTCAGTGCTGGGACCGCTGCTGACAAGCTGGGTGACCTCAGGCCAGTACTGAACCTTCCCAAGAAGCATCCGGACAGCTCCCTTCAGCAGGGCTTTGTCCTAAGGCAGGCAGCACGGGCAGGGGCTGTCCACTCGGCACACTTCGCAGCACTTGGGAGTAACACTGGCAGCAAACAAGCCGTGCGGCACCAGCCCCTCCCCCCCCCCCCCCCCCCCCCGTCTGGCTCCTCTCGGCTGCACCATCACGGGAGTCGAGGTGGGAAAAAGGATGCGACAGCTTGCGCCCTGTGGAATAAGCACATCTCACCTCTGCTGCAGGCTGGGACTGCAAGGCAGGGAAGGGGCTGGGGACACTTGTGCACAGTTTTGATGACCACTCCAGGAAGAGGAAACTGAAGGTTTGAGGGGTTAAGTCATCTGGTCAGGGTCCACAGCCTGTTCCCCGGAGCAGGACTCTACCCGCGCACCGTGCCCTGGGATCTGACAAGACAGCGTCTGCAGACCTTGACAGTGCACCAGGCCTTCAGGATGGGGCAGGAAGGCCCTGCCAGCGTGGGGGTAAACGCGGACCCTGTTTGTCTCCTGGGATTGCGACCGGGGAAGCCAGGTGGGCCTAGAGGTTTCTGTCAAGCGTCTCATCAGTGTCTGGCGTTGGTAAGAGCGGGGGATCAGGCCGGGTGTGCGCGTGCAGGAAGTGATGAATGCGGTGCTTCAGACCCGGGTGCAGCGTCAGGTGATGCTGAGGGGCAGCCAAGTGGGGCCCGCTGGGAGGGAAGGGCTCTATGCGCCTGGGCGTGCGCAGCATGCCAGACAAGCTTCCTACTTCTCTCCTCCTTTTGGCGGAGGCAACCTAGGGAGACCCGTCCGGAAAGAAAGAGGAAAAAAAAAAGAGAGGGGTGGGATGTAGTTCAGGGCATAGGCCCTGGGTTCAATCCCCAGGGAAAAAAAGGAAAGAAAAAGAAAAAAGAACCATTCCATGAACCATTCCCCAAGCCTTTTTTTTCTGATTTTCTAGATCCCCGGTAGGGGCGGCCCTCCTTGGGTCCCGGATGGGCTCGGTCCAGTTACCAGTTCCAGGAAAGCTCCCAGCCCAAAGGGTCCGAAAGGCCTGCTGGTCGCCCTGCTCGGCTGTTCCGCCTGGGGACTCGCGCGCCGCCGCCGCTTGGGCGGGCGCAGGAGCCTAGGAGAGCGCGGGGCCCGCACGCGGGGAGCCCGGAGCGCGCGGGACAGAGCCTCGTGGGCCTTGCATGCTGGCCGGGGAGTCGCGCTGCGGCGGGGTGGGAACGCCGGGCCCCGATCCCCGCCCCCACGATCCCTGCTCCTCGGCTCCCGATCCCCCCAACCCGGGATCCACACCCGCGATCCCCACCCCTGGCCCCCGATTCCCGCCTCCGATCAGCGTCCCCGCATACCCCAGACCCCTCCCGGATCGTGCTCCTAGG